TAAGAATTGGGCACACTTTTGGGTTTTGCAGCCACAAGACCCCGCCGCTCCCCTTCGCAAGTTCCACCCCTTCGCCAAGTCCTGAAGCGTAAAACACGACCGCGTGATATGCCGTCTGCGGAAACCCCGCAGAACGCACGTAGGCAAAGGATGCCCGTACTCCGCAAGACTCCAAAAAATCATAAATCCGTCGTAGCTCCCACATCATGACGTGTGATTTCGAGCTGCCTTTATTTGTCGCTCCTCGCAGCAAAGTGTTGTCCACCCAAACGTCCATGGTGGACGGCAAGATGGCGGAAAAGACCGTTAAGGCCAGGCGTACCGCACGCACCTCGGCCTGCATGATAAGAAAAGGCTTCCTCTTCCACTCTCCTCCGGAAATTTTAACGTCGCCGGAGTCTGGAATGATAACGGCTCCCCATCCATTGAGCGACGCATCCGTGACGGCGGCCGATGCCTTTTCAGAGGGCTTGATGATTCGCTTACGATTGTTCTCGATGATGTGTCGTAGTCTCTCGCCCGAACCAGCCGCTGACGGCGGAAGGTTCGCCGGGGATGTCTTCAGCACAATCCCCGGTTAAGTGCGGATAACCGTTGTCGCACTGCCTTGATGAAAAAGTAATATGCACATAAACGCGTGCACAAAATGGCTGCCGCGGGCAAAAAGCGTGACGCCACAACCTCCATTTCCGCGATGGTTAAAGATTTCAGCGCTGACATGGCGCGCACAGACCAGACAAACTTCTCACTCAGGGATACCGCACGGTGTGTTTGATCAAACTGCACCCACAGGAAGGTGTACTGCGCAGCGCCCATTCGCCGTCTTCCCCTATCGTGGCGTGACAGCCGTCCGCATTACGAAGCACTTGGGTTTCCCACAATGTCGCACCGCTTCTCGACCCTGCACTGCGCATATTATCGGTCCAAACGTCGACACGCACCAATGGAGGTGTAGCCCAGAGGGGGTGAACCACCGTCGTCACCCCGCAATTGCCAAGGTAATTATCTGGAGAATTTCTGGGCTGGCCTTGTATCCCATTGGGAGCCGTGTCTGCTCCACCAGCGTGCCGTCCTCCAAGCGGCATCGAAAGAGATACCGAGTCTCCCGCGGTAAAGAGAAATGAAAAGGGGATGCCTTTAAATCCAGGCAGGAGGCGGCCTCAGCCATCACAGGTGGCAAATAATGGGAAATGTGCAAAAGAGGAGCATGAGCCTCAGAAGGAACGTCTCTGTTCTTGTCGCGTGGCCACGCGATCCATGTTCGTCGCAAACCGGTGGTTTTCTCCACCACCACCAAAAAGGGCATTATCTATCCGACTGTTCTTGCAGAAAAAGCGTCCTCGATTACTCCCGCTTCCTTCAATAATCGCGCGTCATCGCTGGAATCCTCCGTAAGCTTTTGCGCGCCTTACCGGAGGAGGATTGAGGGAAAAGGGGACCGCCCGACAAGTCCTCAAAC